AATAATTCAATTTATAACGTTTAAGTGCCCAGAGCTTGTTAACGTAAAATGATACAGACTGCAAATAAAAAAGTAATGTTCCTGCCTCTTAAGTAGCTTACAATCTAGTATCTTCTTCAAAATAACAGTAATAGGTGATTAAACCCTATTTGGTGAAAAAGAATCAAAGTTGTGAAGCAAGAAATACAAATACCAGTAAGTTCTCCACATAGGAAGGCGAACTGCACATATTTATGACTAATAGCAGCACAGTTTCCTCATTTTTGTTTGGATTCCAACTCACACAGTCATGGAAATCATGGCTGTTAGGTATACAAAAATACTGTATCAGATCTAACGCTTGCTGAGGGGCGAACTTACTGTAAACGGGACCAGAATGGGAAACTTTGTGACAGGGTCTACTAGATTCTTAGATTTGGCATGGGAATTTTAGGGTCCATGGGCTGAAATACTCTGTAGAATTATATAATAATTTTATCAAAAAAAGAGAGAATTAAGGAATTTACAGAGAATTGTGTTTAAAACATTTTTTTTTAAATGTTCTATCACTGGTCAGACTTTTTAACTGTAAATAGTAACCCCTGAGAAAGAAAACTATAAATGACAAATATTCCTCCATATAAAACTGATGAAAATGAATATTTTCATGAAGTGTTTCAAAAAAGAAGGAGAACAATGTAAACGCTAACCTATGCCACATCAGCTTCAAACATTTGAGAGCCAAAAAGGAAGTTAAAAACTGTTTAGGTTAATTTGGTCATTTTAAAATAATTGAAAGGCAAAGAAGCTGAAGTGTGTTTCAGGACCAAACTGCTGGTTGAAAAACTTAGGCTTTAAAACCATTTCTTCTGTCAGCCCATCCAGTGTTCTTGTATCGATACTACCAGAGCCCATTTATCATTGCTGTGCTGCAGACAAGGTACCTCAGTTAGTGTGACTTAGAAACCAAACTCCATGATTGTGTGAAAGACCTACCATCTCCCCTTCTATACAGTCAAAACTCATTTCCCCTACTCCCCTTTCCACTCCACCTCCAACAGAAGATAATTTAAAGTTTTCTTAGTACTATTTTACTTAAATAAGCAAATAATTAGAGATAAGTCTACTTTTTAACCACTTAATTTTATGAGTTATATAGTTAGAAAGTCAAACTAAGTAAGACCTTCACATGTCTATTACATACTATGCCTTCTAGTGTGCCTTATTTGTATTCCCATGTAATTAAGGTACTTGCATATCTTTCTTATGGAATTGTAAATTCTGCCCCACCTGTTCCTTATTCTCTCTCTCTTTCCACCCTAAATTCCCCAGATTCCCAATATCCACATTCAATTTGCAAGGGCATGAAAAGGGTGAGGCCTTTGGGGAAAGTGTTTTCCTTCTTAGTTTTACAACAGATAAGTGAACTTCCTGATTTATACCAAAATCTCTAGAGATGTAAATAGAATAGTGAGGAACTGATATAAGATATGACATTCTCTCCCACTCAGTAAGTACTTCATAACTCACTGGAGACTCGAAAGATCCATTTAAGACATTAATACAAAGACTTGAGAAGAATGTCAATAGATTACTTTGCCTACAGATTAAAGAAATACCACATGGGTATAGAATGGATTAATTCCAAAGTTGCTGAGTTTAGATAAATAAATAGGACAAAAGATTAAAGTGATACACATATACATATTTTATATCTGCACAATGCACCTTTATATTTTGAACAGAAACATTTTATGAATAGCACTTAGTTGTCTTTTTATAAGGTTTTTAAAAATCCAGTCTTTATAATATTTGATTTTCATTTAGTCTCATCTTCTCCTAATATAAGATGACTCCAAGAAAATATCGGTGACAAATATCCTAGGTTCTGAGTGGTCCTCCAGGTTGACTGGACTAAAGACATTTAGAATTATCTTCAGAACTAAGTGGACTGTCACCACCAAACTGTCACCTCCATGAAAGGAGAAAAGCAATAATTAATAATTAATCATCTTTCACTCCACAAAGTATATTTAAATTGCAGAATGCAGCTGCTCCCACCAATTTTATGTCAGTAGCTTTTGTCATATTACAGTTTATCTGTAACAAACAAATACCCTGGTAGTCTGGAAGAATTAGTATGGCTTCCAAGACTTATGCCTTACAGAATTTATGGCACAGCTATGGAGAGGTAATGATTTATTTTTCAATATGATCTCTCTGTCTCTTCTTCCATAAGTAATATGTTTGCTTGATTTTAAAGTAATGTTTCTCTTTCTCCTTGAAATTTATACTTAACCAATAAGTATCACAAAATGCCACTTCTTTTTGTGTGTATAAAAAAGTTAGAGGGTTCACGTAAGTCAATCATTAAAATGTGTCTTATTATACTATAGATGGTTTCGATGATAACCTGAATCAAGATGTATTTAACATGAACTTAATATCCCACTAAAATTTATTTTTAAAAATTAACATTTAATGAATGAAATAAATTATGGTTTGTGAACATATTAAAGTAAAGAACTAAAGGTTTAGCCAACTTTCAGGTGAAAACAAATGTGAGGAGGACCCTTTGATAATACTTTAAATATTTTAAGAACACTAACAACTCAGGTGTTTTTTAGCATGTATGGTTGATTTATTAATAGCTTTCTGGGTAGACCCTTCAAAACACTATTTAGTACATACCCCACAGTATTATATCTTTCATAAAAGCTAAGAAAAATCCCATTTCATTTGGCTGTAGGTTGAGAAACACCTGTTCTTCCTTGGGTTAATTCTTCATTCTGTGAAAGTGGACTTGATGTTTTGAAACATATTTCTCAATTAAATTGCATTTTATTTATCTGTGTGTATAAACAGAGCCAAAGGGATGCCTCTCCTTCCCCATTCCCTATTGTTAGCTGCCTCCTGCAAGAGAAAACTGCTAATAATTTAGGGGTTGTGTATTTGAAAGCTGTTGATGTTCTGTATTATTCATTAACCTGATTATCATGCTATCTATGTCACTGCTTAAATGTACAACACGGCAAGGCTAGAAAAAAGAGTAAGGTATTTTACCGTGACACCAATTTGTTGATTAATGCCTTCTTAGTAATACCACAGCCTATTATGAGCAAAGGCCTTGAAATCAAAGTGGGTTTAAATTCTGGACCCATTGTTTACTGCATAGGTTATCTTGAAGACTTCCTCATTTGTGAAATATGGATAATGACAGTACCTTCCTCATAGCACATGTCAGAGGATTATCTAAGACAAGGTATATAAGGTATTAGCATATTGTCTGTCACTACAGTAGTCATTATTTACTAATGGTCATTTAATTTACATTATCATTTAAAAATTGGGTCCACAATTTTACATATTCATATCACATATATTTTAACTGTACTATATGTCTCAATTTTATTCATAAATACATTTAATATATAGTCTAATACCTTGTTAAAATGCAAACATATTACTGTGAATAAAGCAATACACACATCTATACCCAAGAATGTACAAATGTGATTATTAATTTTTCCTACTGAATCCATATATCTATTGTTTTAACAACTTTATGAGTTACATAATTAGGAAGTCAAACTAAACAAGAGCTTCACACTGTCTTCTAGTGTTTCTTGTTTGGGATAGTACATGATCCAATAGCTAAAAGAAATTTACAGTCATGTGTAGTTTAACAAGGAGATATGTTCTGAGAAATTAGTCATTAGGCAATTTCGTCATGGTGCAAAGACCACAGGATACACTTACAATACCTAGGCGGTAGAGCCCACTACACACCTAAGCTCCATGGTATCGCCTATTGCTCCTAGGTTACAATCTGTATAGTATGTTACTGTGTGTAAAACTTTAGGTAACTGTACTATAATGTTAAGTATTTATGTACCTAAACATATCTAAACATCGAAAAGATACAGTAAAAATATCGTATAAAAGATTAAAAATGGTACACCTGTAAAGGGCACTTGCCATGAATGAAGTCTGCAGTGCTAGAAGTTGCTCTGGATGAGTCAGTGAGTGTGTGGTGGGTGAATGTAAAGACCTAGAACATCACCATACTCTACTGTTGACTTGATAAACAGTGTACACGTTGGCTACAACATTTTAAAAATCTTTTCTTTCTTCAATAATAAATTAACCTAGGATTACTGTAACTTTTTTACTTTATAAACTTTTAAATTTTCTTAACTTTTTGACACTTTCATAATAACATTTAGCTGAAAACACAAATACATTGTACAGTTGTACAAAAGTATTTTTTCTTTCTTCCTTATTCTATAACTTTTTATTTTATTTTATTTTATTACTTTTTAATTTTTTATGTTAAAAACTGAGACAAAAACACACACATTAACCTAAGCCCACACAAGATCAGGATCACCAAGATGTCACTAGGCGATAGAAATATTTTAGCTGTGTTATAATCTTATAACACCACTGTCATATATGTAGTTGTCATTGACCAAATGTCATTATGCAGCACATGATCATATTTGTTTTTTTTGTTTGTTTGTTTTTTGAGACGGAGTATCGCTCTGTCTCCAGGCTGGAGCACAGTGGCGCGATCTCGGCTCCCTGCAACCTCTGCCTCTCAGGTTCAAGCAATTCTCCTGCCTCAACCTCCAGAATTGCTGGGACTGCAGGCACGCACCACCGCGCCCAGCTAATTTTTGGTATTTTTAGTAGAGACAGGGTTTCACCATGTTAGCCAGGATGGTCTCAGTCTGTTGACCTCGTGATCTGCCTGCCTCGGCCTCCCAAAGTGCTGGGATTAGGGACATAAGCCACCGCGCCTGGCCGATCACATCTGTTTTGCCATACAGCTAGCACATTTATCTTTCCTGTGGAATTGTACGATCTTCCACCATTCTGCTAGTCCCTCATGATTTCCCAGTGTATTTACTAAGCTTCACAAACAACTGTGAGAATGTTGGTTGAGTGTTGATTTTATATAAAATTAAAATTCATTTTCACATGAAACTAACATAAGTATTTAAAACTGAGTTACATACCTGAATTCAAAAAAGGTAAGTTATCTTTTCCGCTCACACTTTCTGGGACTGTACATTCACATACCAGGGCACACTAGGAAAAAATGTAAAAAAAAAAAAATTTGAAAATAATCAAAATAAGAAATGATATTCTTTTATTTTCTTTGCAAAACATAAGGCTATGTACATGGTTCCAAAAAGTCTTGAATAAAATACTTTTAAAAAACTATTTCTAGTTTTATCTTTACTACGAAGAGTATTTAACCTGTGATTTACTTAAATGTATATGTAATATGCTTATATTACATAATGATAGAGGCTACTCAGGGAAAAAATTAAAAAGAGAAAAATGATTATTCCCAACATGCTAGAGATATGTTCCTAGCACAGTAAATCATATTTGACAAGCTGAATCATTTCGTATTTCTTTCACCTGAGCTAATTTCAGATCAACAGAAAGCAAATTATTGTCTAGAGTTTAAGTAATTGCAACTTTAAATAAAAGACAAAATATGTTGAAACCACTAGTTATACAGGGCAAAAGATTATTTTGTCTCCAGCAAAACAATGCAAACACTTGCTCAAAAAGTATGAGGATCATTTATAAATAAGCTGATCTGTGGAATCCATAATGAACTGATTAAGCTCCTGACCTTTACGGTAATGTCAATTTCTCAACAGAAAGAAAGAAGAGATACAGAAGAGCACGGGGACATGTTCCTAGTGAATGAACCGTGATGGGAGAGAATGTCCCAGACAATTCCTCATTAAATGTGGTACTCTCCCTCAGCTTCCTGTGAAACTGTAATGGAAAGAGGAAACAAAATTCTTCTGGCCCCAGGAGTTGGACAAGATCTATTTTCACATAGGCAGGCTCTAGCATTTGCGTCTTCAAATGAGTTTCCTTTTATCTTTAGAAAAAACATGCAGGTGGGGGTGGGGACAGGGAAAGAGGAGAGTGAATTTTCACAGCAAATATACCCCATATAAACAAGTAAATGCAAACATAACAAAGCAAACATACACACGAAAATCACAGAAAGTTCTTTTGGTGACAAAGTCTGAGGAAACCAGCCATCCTTCTGTAAGTTTTGCATGGCTCTGCTCAAGGGGCTCTGAGGGCTCAGACAAGCTTCTCCAAGGTTCTATCAGCCTTGCTTGAGCTATTTCCCCACTGTTCTGTCTCCCTCCACCTCTCCTTCCCCAGGCACTGGCCCTCATTGAGAATCATAGACGCTATGGTCACTTTTAACAATGGAATGTTTACATTCCTCAAACATTTTGAGGAAGAAGACAAAGAATTCAAAACACTGATTTAAATGTTACTTTCTGTTTTCTTAGAGTCTACTGCTTATTCCGCAATCAACATTCATCACATTACTCAGTAAATTTTTTGTTGGGGTACAAAAAATGGTTTCATAATTTTTTTATTGAGGTCCTAGTTGACTGAAAGAACGAATGACTGAAAATAGCTCTTAAAATTTGATGTTCTCTAAATCACATTTCTGACCACACAGAAGTCAGAGGTGCACTTCCTCTAATCCACAGCAAGTTTGGAAATGCACTTCCTAAATCACTAGAATGATGTTCAATGATACTAGAAATACATAAAATTTTAATTTCTCCTATTTTCAATATTTCCTTTAATTCTTTTAGCATACACAGGGCTGTTAAAATAATTTTTCATCAACATTATATTCATCATATCAGTGTTCTACACTATAATAAATAATAGATATTTATTTAGCTCAGAGTCTTATGGCTTACAGCGGAGTACATGATCTGTTTCTTCCCACCCCGTGAATCTCAGCACTCAACTCCAACCACTTCTCCTCGACCCCTGAGCTCCAGTCACACTGGCCTATTTGCTGCTCTTTCAACACAACAAGCATGCTGCCACCTCGGGGACTTTGCTCTTGCTATTCATGCTACCTAGAATTTGTATTCCTGCCATATATCCCCATCTCACTCCCTTATTTCCTGAAAGTTTCAGCTCAAACATCACATTATCAGTGAATCTTTCCTTAACCAACATCTAGTATAAACAATCATGCCTAAGCACCACCTGTTCCTTTCACCCTGTCTTTTTTTCTGTACAGCATATAGCACCAGTCAGTAATTTATTACCTGTTATTTTAATTGTTTACTTCCCCTGAAGGTACCATCTGTGTCTCTCTGGTTCATTGCTGAATCTCCAGAAATTAGTAGAATGCTTAGAACTTAGTAGGTGATATTTTTGATAAATGAATGATGATTATTTGCCTACAAATATTCTCTATAAGGTAAGGCTGGTTATAATACTTTCAATTTTACATTTGGAGGAAATAAGGGGATAAGACCTTCTGAGACTGGTCCTTAGCCACTCAAAGACTCCACCTTTCCTCTGAGCACTGCTGATAAACTACAATGAAAACAGTACATCAAATAACAGGAGCAAGATGGCCTGAGAAAAGCAGAAGGTTTTCATAAGGTGATGTATTAATACTCCACTTATACTATTTTTGCTGGTATCATAAATAAGTAAGACATTTTCTTTCCTTTTGTAGAAATCACAATCTCTTTGGTCACTAGTGCTATGCTACATTCCAATACAACACAGATCTTAAACTAACAGGAGAGACAAGGCAGGGGCTGAACTAAACTAAGCTGCTCCCGTGCCTCACTGGAGGATGCTCCTAATAACACTTCAATCCTGACAGGAAGCTGATCATCTCTGCTGCAGGCAAAGAAGGGCCGTGCTCAATGGGAAGACTTTTCCTGTCTCAATCAATCCTTTTGGCTGTTACTTATTGGGTTTTCTCATTTTTCACCTGATTTTATTATTTGGTTCCTACTTATCCTTTTTCTAATAGTATTGTCTTTGACTACTTCAAAAGTTGTTCTGTAAGTTTCTTTCTTTTTCTTCCACAATCCTACACTCTTTACTACATGCCATCTTATTTATTGATCCACCAATTGGCATGGAGTTATATGCAGTCACGTATTGTCTCTGCTATAGGATAATTTTTACCTTTACTTCTTTACTTCTTTAAAGTAAAGTTGACTTCATTTATTCATTTATTTCTGAGTTAGACCGTTTCAGGCACTGGGGATAAAGGAGGGAATGAAAATAGACAGTTTTGTCTCATGAAGGTTAATACTAGTGAGGAAAATAGACCACAAATGAGATAAATTAGTCATATATATATGACATTGAACAATGACAAGTACTAATGACAAAAATAAAAAATAATGCAGAGAAAGGAGATAGAAAGCTTTGGGGTAGACACTGCAATCTTAGATAGGGTTGCAGGAAAGGCTTCAGTGAGGAGCTGACACTTCTGCATAAAGAGCAGAAGGAAATAAGTGAACCACAAAATTACCTGGGGAAAACACTTCAAAGGTAGGTGGAAAAACAAAGTGCAGGGACCTTGAGTTGGCAATGTACCTGAAATGTTCAGGAACAACAAGGAAGACAATGTGACTGAACCGTAGTGAGCAAAAAAGAGAAGTTGGGGAGGAGGTCAAAGAAGTAATAAAGTTGCCGGGAGTGGGACAGGGAGACTCTTGTAAGACTGTGTTTGGTCACTGAAGAGCTTTGAGTTTATACTTTCAGAGAGTCGAGAAGCTGTGGGAGAAAGACATGTCCTAAGTTACATTTAAATAGGATCACTTTGTTGCTCTGTTGAAAACAGACTGATGTAGTGACATGTGGTGGCAGATAGGGAGAGAAAAGGAAAAAATCAGGGAGACTTTTAAGTCATTACTGTAAACATCCAGGTGACAGACAACATTGGTAGCAGTGAAAGGGCCAAAAGTTGTTAAATTCTGATTTCATTTAAAAGGTGCAGTCAACAGGATTTGATGACATATTAACTGTGAGTTTATGAGAGGCAGAAAGGAGTCAAAGATTACTTCAATAACAGAAAAAATATTTTGGATACATAATGCAACATTCATCTACTATATTAGTTGTGAAAAAAGACAATTTTAGTTTTTCTTTTGTAATTTTTTCTTTCTACTACTATGTGGTTTTAATGCTTTATCTTCTATTTCTATATGTGCATATACTGAAGTTTGAAACAATCTAATATGGTAAATGACCCTCTGAGCAATCTTCCCTTGATAATAAATATGTATTCATAATACGATTAATGGAAACAAGTAAGAAAAAGAAAGCAAACATATGTGAGAAGAAAGAGTTTGGATTTTCACTTATATTTTATTCCATGCTCTGGAATTTAACACTCAAGATTAAAATGTAGTATTTTATATAAAGGTACTATTATGGACTGAACTGTGTCTTCCAAAGTTCATATGTTGAAGCCCCAGCCTCCAATGTGACCATATTTGGAGATAAAGGCCTATATTATGGAGGTAACTAAGATTAAAAGAGGTCATAAAGATGGGGTCTTAATACTACAGGACTGGTATTCTTACAAAAAAAGGAGAAGATACCAAAACACTATATCTCTCTCTCTCCCTTCCTTTCTCCTTTCCTCTCTCTCTCCCTCCCTCCCTCCCCCCACTTCCCCTTCCTGCTTTCACACAGAAGATAGACCATCTGAGAAGGTAGCAAGAAGGCAGCCACCTGCAAGCCAAGTAAAGAGCCCTCACCAGGAACTGAACAGGCTGGCACCTTGATCTGGGACTTCCTAGCTTCCAGAACTGTAAGAAAATAAATTCTTGTTGTGTAAACCATACAGTTTATGGTATTTTGTCATGGCAGCCCAAGCTGAACAATATCAGTATCGCTCTTTTATTTACGTCTGCATTAGATAACATGTGTCACTTTCATGACACATGACTATGGTGCTAATAGAAGTTTCATTCCTTTGTCCCTAGCTCATGCAAACCAATGTGAGCAATGTTATTTTACAAATAACTTCTATTTCAGTTACTTTCTCTTTCCATAATGACAGTCATTCAGGTCTTAAATCACCATTAGTAACAGATAAAATTAATTGATTTTCTATGGATTTTTGTTTAACAGATGTACAATGGTCCATGCATTTGTAGTTCTAAAAAACACTCTAGGTGATTCTAATCACACTTTGAAAAACGCTGATATAAAGTTATTTACACAATAAATATCATGCATGTTGGGCCTTACTA